AAAAAAAATGGAAACCCAAGAATTTCACGCTTCTTAAGACTTTTGTGACACCGCGAATTTCATGGGGCTTTAATCATTCCCTTCCCAGGCTGGGTGACAAGCCGTGATCCCCCGCGGGGTGAGAGACACTATGTGGCAGCTTATTGCATTATAATAATACACGGAGCCCTATAATTTTCCTATTAACTTCAAAAGTTTACAATCCTATTATCAGCCGCTGCCGAGGTCGGTGCCGCACGATAATGGAGCGGAGCAGCTCCTCTTCAAACATCACTTGAACTTGGGGATGAGCAGAACCCCACGGAAACCTCAGGGATTTAAATATTCAAACGGGCTGGATCCTCCTCCGAGGCTCCGAGGAGCCGCTGCCTGCAGAGGGGAGGGGCRGAAATTGGATTTTCTGCGCTGTTCCTGATAACACATCGGAGAGGAGCCTCTTCCCATCCCCTGCTGCTCCGAGTGGGTGATTCCCATCCTGGCTGTCATCCCTGTGCCTGCCCAAACATCCTGGGATTGGGGGAATGTTTCCATGGAAAAGGCTGAAGCATCAAAATGCCCCAAAGTATTGAAACTCCCCAAGATGTGCCCATGCAGAGCTGGCTGAGGGGCTTCATGACACTTTGTCCCCAGTGCTTTAGCCCGTTTTCCCTGATTTTGGGATGTTTCGGGTTTCTCGTGGCTTCACGACACTTTGTCCCCAGTGCTTTAGCCCGTTTTCCCTGATTTTGGGGTGTTTCGGGTTTCTCCTGGCTTCATCTCTTCACATCAATGTTTTGGTGCTGCTCCAGGGTGAAGATGGTTGAAGTGGCCAGCAGCTGTGAAGATGCCATGCCCAGGGTTTGAGGGATGCTGCAGCTTGGGCAGCAGTAGCTTGTGGCATGACAATGTCCCAATGATGTCCTGACAATGTCCCAGTGATGTCCTGACAATGTCCCAAGGATGTTCCAGTGATGTCCCAGGGATGTCCTGACAATGTCCCAGTGATGTCCCAGCAATTTCCGATCACAATCCCAACAGGAGCAGGGCCTGTCCCATCCCTCATCCCCACAGCAGCTCCCGGGTGGCATTTTTTGTGTCATTTCCTTATCTCAGTTGGTCTCCAAGACGCTTTTGCAATTTCCCAGTGAAACCACACAGTCGGGAATGAGTCTTTTCTGGGTGGGGGGGACACAGAGCCCCCCAACCCTGCAATTCCTGAAAGCCTGGCCAGATTAGATCCGCTCTGGGTGTTATAAATCACTCCAGCCCCATTCCAGTTATCCCCACAAGGGAATGGTGGCGGGTGGGACATGGCCCCAGCCCCCGGCTCCGGCCTCCCCTTTTATCTCCCCTGGCAGGATTCATTACTGATGGGCGATTTTCCCTGGGATTCATTTGATCTCCTCGATGGAAATTGCTTACCCGGTGGAAATCTCGAGCCAGGGCGTGGGGAGGGGGAGGACAGGGGTGCTTGGCCTTGGATGGCAGAGCTGGGAGCTCAAAGGGGCTGCAAAGACCAGGAATTTTTTGTGACAGTGAGTGGGGGTCACCTGGACTCTGTTAGTGAGGCAGGGAGGGGACACAGGGGGCAGGGAGGGTTGTCCACGGGGGGGTGGCTTCATCCTGGACCAAGATGGGACAAGGACAAGGACATTCCAACCTTTCCCTCTGCACTGGATGGAGTTAAGGGCAAACCCACCCCCAGCAGCCGTGGACCCGACCCAAAGGGAGGTGACAGCGGTGTCACAAGGGTTGTACTCACAATGTTGGGGTGCGAGAGCCTCAACAGGACCCCRATCTCCGTCCTGACGATCTTTTTGTCGATCTGGGAAGCAGAGCCCATGCAGAGTTTGTGTCACYGGTGCTGCCAGGCCTGGCTCTGGCTCCCCACCATGCAGAGACCCCCTGATCACTCCCAGTGCATTCCCAGGGTCCACCCCCATCCCAGATCCCAGCGATTTTGCCCATCTGAGACCCCAGACCATGAAAGCGATGCCCAGTGCCAGCCCCGTGGCCATCCTGGTGCTGAGGGGCAGGGAAGGAGAGGCACCACCACCCCTCCCCAGCTCCCTGATGCAGCCCCTTCCCCTCCCCAGCCCCTCTCCAGCCCCTCTCCTGCCTCACTCACCGTTTTCTTCAGGATCTTGGCAGCGTAGGGCGTTCCTGTGCCCTTCTCCTGGCAGCTGAACACCACCGAGGTGGCACCCCTGGGAAGGCAGGGGGAGCGTGAGGCTGGCACAGATTGTCCCCCTGTGTCCCCCACCAGCACCTTTGGCAGTGCCAGGCCCTGGGAGCTCAGCCTGGATCCCCCTCTTTATGGATTCCGCTTTTCTTGGATCCCACTTTTCATGGATCCTGCTTTTTGTGGATCCCGCTTTTCATGGATCCCACTTTTTGTGGATCCCCCTCTTCCTGCAGCCCATTCTTTATGGATCCCCCTCGTCCCTCACCCTGCTTCTTCTGCAGTCCCCCCAGTCCTGCATTTCCATCCTTGTGCATCCCCCTCCTCCCGCATCCCCCTCTTTGTGGATCCCACTTTTCCTGGATCCCCCTCCTCATTCATCCCTCCATTCCCGTATTCCCTTCCTTGTACATCCCCCTCCTCATTCATCCCTCCATTCCCATATTCCCTTCCCCTCCTCCTTCATCTCCCCAATTCTTCATTCCCATCCTCCTGCATCCCCCCAATTCCCTTCCTGCCCCCCCCTCCTGCATCCCCCTCCTCCCGCTCCCCCTCCCGCCTCATTCCCGGCTCTCCCGGCCAAGCCTATTTTAATTAAACCCGGGTTCTACAGGGGGTTTAAATCCTTAAGCGGCTTTCACGACAAGACGGAGCCGCCGTGTCCCCACTCGCAGCCTCTCGGCGACAGCAGAGACGCTGCCGGGGGATCCATCCCCTCAGGACCACGGCACACGGGACTGTCGCTGTCACCAGACACCTCCCGGCCAGGTTAAACCGCTCCGGGTGACACGGGGACCGTCGCTGTCGCCTCCCCGCCGCGCCCCTCAGCCCGTGGGCGATCTTTGCTCGAGTTAATCACGTTTTCTGAGCGTTGGACGGTGAAATCAGCCCATCGCTCCGGGCCATTCCGGGGCTCATTTGCAATTCCATCTCCCTGCCTGGCTCCTGGAGCAGATTAATTCCTGCCCCCGAGTAATCGGCAGCGTTTTACCGCGCTTTGACTGTACCCGGTAAGAACAGACCCCAAACCCACCGACTTTCACACCAAAACCTCGCCCCGCTCGCCAATCCCCGCGCTCCCGGGTGCTCTCCTGAAAGAGGGATTTGTTTTCGAACCCGGAGCAGATTTTTGCAACTCATCCGGCTGAAGTTGGGAACGGCGTTCCCATGGCAACGGCAGCCCCGGGTACCACCGGGATGCTGCGGGATCCACGCGGGATCAGCGAACCTCGCCCAGCTTSAAAACATTTCCTCCCTTTCGCCGAACATCCTCCACGAAACTTTAGTTTAGGAATRAAAAGTGATTTGGAAACGGATTTGTTCCTGCTGGGAGGGGAGAGGCTGCCTGCTCCAGCTCAGGGAAAACGGGCAAAAGCTGCAATTTYACCCCAAAATGGCATCGCTGCTGCTGCAACCACCACCACAACAACGCGTTTCCAGCGTTCCGAGGTTATTCTGGGAATTTTCCAGCCGGGCTGGACACGGGGACAGGACCCTCCACCTCCTCTCCACAGCTGAATCCCAGCCAGGATCTGTCGCCTCTCACCCTCCCTCGACATTTTTCCGCACGGACAATTCCCAGCCTGATCCCCGCCGCTAACAAGATCATTTAGGAGCGCTCGGCTCGGYGTTTAGGAGGAGCCGGGGTGGCTCCTGTGCCCGCTGTGCCCGCGGCGCTGCCCCTCGCCTGTCCCCAATTAGGGCAGCGCTCGGAATTCGCCACACCTCGGCCCCCGGCCCCGCCGGCGCCCGCAGCCGCCGCTCAAGACCTCAAATAAATATTCCCAATCAGCCTTGCCCGCGACGGCAGATAATTGCATTTGCTTTYCAGATGAACTGGAAAATGTCAAACAATGGGATTTGCCGAGAGCCTGGAACGTGCGGCCGAGGGCCGGGGGCAGCCCCGGGCTGGGTGTTCCCCGCTGCCCTCACAGCCCTGCCCTGCTCCATCCCTCCCTYCCCTGCTCCCTGGGGCTTCCTGGCCAGATCTGGATCCAAACTTGCCAGGAGAGGCACTAAGGGAGAGCTGAGCACGGTGAGGGGGCTCCCACCAGCACAAATCCCACCCAGATCCCGACACGCCGTGAGTGGGTGACTCCAGGACTGAGACCAGTTTGAGTTAAACCTGGGTGTCAAAACTGGAGGGAGGGATGGATGGAGGGACAGGGATAGATGATGGATGGATGGATGGATGGATGGATGGATGGATGGATGGATGGATGGATGGATGGATTCCAGGGCCTCTGGGCCTGTCCCTCTGTCCCGCATCCCTCTGTGCAGGGCTGGGTGCTGCCAAAGCCACACCTTGACACAAACACTTAAATTCCTGTTTTTACCAAAGCTGCTGTTTTTCAGGACCCTCTGACAATACAAACCCTGTGGCATATAAGCCTGGCCCAGCCTGAACCATCAAATCCACAGCCAGGGCCTCGAGGCAGCTCTGCCTCCCTGATGACACAGCCCAAAACCCCAAAAACAGGACCAACAACCTTCCCACTCTGGGGTCCCAGCACCCCCTGGGACCCCCCTGCCCTGGGAGCACTGGGACACCCCTCCCGGGATCACAGCCCTCAGATGGGCTCTCCTACACAAACTGAGAGCTGGGAGTCCAGACTTTTTTGTGGGGCTGACACTGCCTGTCCACTGCAGGGGGCTGCTGCAGGCGGGACCCTCGTTGCCCACCGCACAAAGCTTTGGGGTGCTCGGAGGGGAGATGGGTCTCCCCATGATCCCRTTCCCTGCAGTGGGCATGGGGAATRTCCAGCTCCATGTGCCRTGGGACYCCCAGACCATCCTGCAACCCCACAGTGAGCACTCCCAGACCGTCACGGGACAATCCCAGTGCCGGATCACACGGGAGGGGAGGATCTGTCACCATCCATCCCCCTCATCCATTCTCCCATCCTTCCTTCCATCCTTTCCACATCCCTCCATCTCCCCTGAATGTCCATCCCTTCCTGCACCCCTCCACTCCCCATCATCCATCCCCCCAAATCCCTCCAACCCCCTCATCCATCCCCTCTGTATTTCCTCATCCTCCCCACATCCCTCCCTCCAGCCCCCTGCCCCAACCAGGACCCKCTCCCACCCCAGGGGGRYTCCAGCCCGTCCCAGCCCCTCCCARTTCCCTCTCCCCGCCCGGTACCGTCCCAGCTCGGGGCCCACGACGTAGAAATCTTCCAGTGCCGCCTCCCGGTGGGATCCATCAATCCAGAACTCGCTCCCGCTCTTGGACGACGGCATGGTGGGCTGGGGGCTGCGAGCTCCCGCCAGCTGCTTGGGAAGGGGAGACCCCAGGATCGATGGCAGCAGCTCCCCCCGCCTCACCCCCACCCGATCCCCCCCTCCCTCCGCTTCCGCGAGTGCCCAGATGGCTCGGGAAAAACCAGCGCTCGGGATTATCGAGCGCCATGGAATCGCGGCCGCAAATCCCCTTCCCACCAGGCACGTACGCTGCCTTTCCCGAGATAATGCCCCCCACCCCCCGAGGGATGTGTGCCCCCCTCCCAGGCTTTTTCCACCGCCCTCCTCCCCTTTTTCCCACCCTATTTTTGGGATTTTCCCCACCTTTCTGGGGATCCCCCGCGGAGTTTGCACCCCGATTCCCGCAGCATCCCAAAACCACCACCCCCCGACCCTCCTCACGCCCAGGCGGCCCCGGTAATTTTGGGGTGGGGTCGGGSCCCGGCACGTACCGTTATCTGCGGCGCCGCTCGTGTTCCCCCCGGCGCTGCCTCATCCCCGGCGCGGGGCGGCCGTGCCGAGGGTGGGCTCGGGGGGTTCTGAGCCCCCGGGGCTGGTGCTGAGCCTGCCCGCGGCCCCCCGGGCCTGTGCGGACCCCCGCGCTGCTCCCCAAAACGGGGCGTCACGGCTCAGCTCCCCGGCGGGGCTTCACGGGGATGGGAGGATGCGGGGATGGGAAGATGGAGGGATGCGGGGATGGGAGGATGCGGGAATGGAGGGATGCGGGAACGGAAGGATGCCGGGATGCGGGAACGCAGGGATGCCGGGTAGCACGGATGCAGCCGCCGAGACTCCGGGCTGGGAGGATGCGGGGATAGCGAGCAGCCCCGGGAGGCACGGATAGGACT